AAATTTATGTAAAGACTTTTTTGCCTTTTAAGCTTCGTGGGAATCACTTGTGCTCATTAACCAATAGTAATTTCTAAGATTTCCCTCTTTTTCCTAAATAGAGACATTTTCGGATTTTTTGCAAGATTTTCGTACCAGAAAGACTGATCCTGAATGGAGTTAACATCACTTTTCGCTGGTCTTCCATAAGAAAATGATTTAAATAAAATACATCTGATTTCATTAAAATCCTGTGTCTGTTTCCCTGCTTGGTCCGCCTGCATCATTTTACATATACAGGGTGATTCTAAAAAGGTGGGCAAAATTTTAGAAAGTGATAGTACACACACACCCAAGCAAACTACTTTTGTCAAAGAATGCATGGTCGAAAACAAAACGCAAAACCGCTAGAGGGCGTCAAAGTTTATGTTCTTATATGAGGCACAAACACACAAAGAACGATGAAGTTAAGTTATAAAAGCAACTTTAATGGCATGTGATTACAATAAGCGTTCGAAATAGTGTCCGGCAGTGGCTATGCACGCAGTACAACGGCGAAGAAAAGATAGGGCATATCACGAACTTTCCCTGCAGTGACCGAAAGCTTGGCGACAAGTAACGCAGCGCAGTAACTCGCAACAGGAATGGATAAAAATTGTTTGCTTGGGCGTGTACTATCACTTCCTAAAATTTTGCCCATCTTTTTAGAATCACCCNATATATATATGTATGTATATATATATCCTATACATCCTATAGATCCTATACATCCTTAACCTGTTTCTTAGTTACTTTACCAATCACAGTATTGGCAGCGTTACAAATACTGTCTTTTATACATTTCCATTTGTTTTCCACAGTATCTTCACAATGCATTAAATTCAATTGTTCCTTTAGTTTTTCGCAATATTCAAGTCTTATCCTTTCATTTTTAAGTTTATCACAGTCATATTCTCTCAACGTCTCGCTCTTGAACGTCTTTGCGTTATATAATCTTGATCTGACTATTATCCGGAATTGATCAGAATCCACATTAGTCCCACGAATCCACAATAGTACATGATTAATTTGGTTAGCTAAAGTACCACATCGCCAGGTAGCTTTACGAATAATTTTTTTACGACTTTGTCATTTACAACAGTTGTCCAAAATATGATGTAAAAATTATTTTTGGGGATTTATATGCTAAAGTAGGCATAGAAAGGGAATTAAAATTTGTAACTGGAATTTGTTTGGTTTACATGATACAACGGATGATAATGGATGCAAATTAATTGATTTTGCCACTTTACATAAAATGATTATAGAAAGCACGTCTTTTCCACATAAAAATATTCATAAAGCAACCTGGTTTTGTTGTTACTGCTTGATAAATCTGATATATTTTTACATAAAAGATAAATGCCGATGTTTCTTTTAAATATTATAAGTAGCAGGTGTATGTCTAGTACTAAGTTAAAAGTGAAGTGTCACTGATTTCACTGGTGGAGGCAAAATAAGAAATGAAAAAATATAAATAAATAAAAAAAGCACAGGAAGATAAGTACTTATAAAATTTTAAATCCACATTTTAAACTCATTTTTACTAAGCTGCCAACTATTATTTCCATGTAGTGGTGTGGAAAATTACTTTAAACCAAATTTACAAAACAAAGAATCATACATCAAAACATAAACTTAGCTATCACTAGTAGAATTTTTCCAAAAAAAGTAAAAAGTTGGGTGATTTTGTGCGAGGAAAGGAATGGTTTTTACAGAGTACGGCTTATCTTCACTAAGTAGTAACTCTCATGGAGAACCGATTTTTCGTGTTATTAATTTATCATAACCTAGAAATCCTCAAAATGCAGGATGGAGCTTCATTTATTTACAGAGACTTAAATCCTCGTTTATTTACTTTTTGCTTTGAAATTTTGGATTTTATCAGTGAATGATTTTATCAAGATGATAAAATTTATATACTTTATGATTTTAATTACTTTTTACGATTTTGTTATTAAACTACTGATTGTGAATAAAAAAAATAGATGTATCCCTGAGTGTGCATATTTAATAAAAATTTTATCAATTATTGAAATAATTTATACTTATTATACTAAAACATAAATTATACTTAGTATACTCTAAAACTTACTTACACATTATTAGATCAAATTAGTTTCGATCATAAAAAATTATTATTTTTTAATTAGAAACAGCACAATAAATATATGTATGTAAATTTATTATTTTGATATTTTTTTATTTTATTATTTAAAATTTTGTGGTAACAATTATCTTTTTGTAAAAACCTTTATAGTTCCTAACTGTTGAGAAGCTGCCAGCTTGAAAACAATGTATTAAACTAATGATTTAATATTATTATTACTAATTTAATTTTTAATTACTATAGAACTATATTATTATTATGTTAGCAGTTACTTTTTATTTACATACTTAATATAGTTCTGTTTTGTTATTATACTTACTATGGAACTGTTTTAGCTTACTATATCACCTTCTCTTTCATTATAATTACCACTAAGAGGCTCCGTTTGTCAACCCCTGTGCTAAAGCCTTACTCAACTTTTTTCTTTCTTTTTTAACATTCCATATTTTTCAAAAAAAGATAATTTTGTTTATAAATTACATAATTATTATAATTTTATGTAGGGCAGCCGAGCACAGTGCAAATGTATAATATCCTCAGTGGCAGACAGATCATGGGTTAGAGTCCCTTTGTCGCCAGGCTAAATGTGGTAGGTTTTCATGGTTTCCAGGGACGCAAAGCAAATGCAGGTTAGTTCCAACAAAAAGTCCTTCACAAAAGTTAGTTTTTATCAGTGCTTGATCCAAGCATTCCATTGTCTTCTGGGTTGGGCTCAAAATTACAAGGCTATGCAAGGAGCATTACACTGATGGCCGTAAACTCAAAACTGAGTTAGCCGTTCCACAGCGGTTATAAAATATAATTTAATTTTATGAAAGAGCTGTGGTGGCTCAGGGCATAGTGCGCTTACCTCCCATTTAAAAAACCCAGATTCGAATTTACGGTTGTCATAAATTATCCTAGTATGTAAATGTATTATGGGTTAGAATCTCTTTGCTGTTGGGCTAACCATGGAAGTTTTTCCTCTCCATGTAACATAAATGTCACCCAGAGCGGACAATCTGTCCTAATGCTTCATACTCGAGGTCCCTCATCTTTTGAAATGTGTTCAAAATTACAAAGCTATGGAGTTGGACACTGATAGACATAAACTCAGATTTGAGTCGGCTGTGTTACACTGATTATAAAATATAATTTTATGTAAGAAAATTTTGTTATGTTAATCGTAACGAAATGAAAGGATTTGAAAAATAATCAACTATATGGGGGGAGGGGGGATTTTAAACTTAGAATTATAGAATGTGTGATAAAATATTAAATAATAAATAAGTGATGTTACTTGTTAACAAACTTTAAAAATAACCTTACTTAGTGTATAACATTTCAATTTGAAATAGTTTTTTACCTCTCTTGTGACATTTATATTCGTAAAAAATTTCAATATAATATTTATATCTGGTAAAATCTAATCTCTTTCAGTCATTTTATTTATTTATTTTTTGCATTTTTGTTACTTTGACATAAAGCAGTATGTGAACGAAAAAACTGAAAATCTTGAGATAAATTTAAAAAACAATGGGTAAAAAATCATAATTTGAAACTTTAAAGTAAAAAAAAAAATCACAAAAATTTTCTTTCCAGCATGTCAACTTCGTAATCGCATTCCTATGGCTTGTAGAGTAGCCTGTATGGTATTTTTTCCAACAAGTTTTACAGTAAAAATATTTTGGACAAATTATTGAATGTTAAACTTTTTCATTCTATTGTAATCCATGTACAGTGCGCAAAATAAAAAATGGACCACCCTGAATAAGTTATAATCTAAAGATCGGACCTTCACGTTCTAGGACTCCGTCTTAATGGTTCGAGGGGGTGACTTCAAATGTGCTGATTAATTAGTACGGACGATATTTTAAGTTACAAAATCAGACACAAAAACAAATCTCTGAATAAACATACCTTTTTTTCAATAGATTTAGATTTTTGACCTCAATATATAAGGGGTAGCCGCAATCTGGAAAATGTGGTCCCCATAGTTTAGTCAGGAGAGCGATTCAAAATTTTGGACTCCCTAATTTTAATTTTCGCGTACTCAAGTAGCTCAAGAATTTTTAAAACGAATTGAAAAATCTTTGGACACAATTATAAAATTTGTTTATCCAACGATAATTCCATGGAAAAAATGAATTTTAGTAAATTTTTATTGTTTTATTTAATAACTGTCGTAACACTTTTGAAATATACGGTATATAAATTTTTGTATAGTTTTAAAGTATCTAATTTTACAGGGCAAAATACAAAATTTGCACGAGATCGGTTAAATAGTTCCTGAGATATCAAATTTTAAAAAAGCGACTTTTATAACCATATACCCTATCATATTTTCCAGATTCCCATACTTGCTTTTACCATATTTTTTAGATTGCAGCTTCCCCTACATTTTAGGAGTCAAAAATCTGAATCCGCCAGAAAAAAAGGTATGTTTATTAAAAGAAAGTATGTTTTTGTGTCTGATTTCGCAACTTAAAATATCATCTACATTAATTAATTAGCATATTTAAGTCCTAGAACATGAATATTCGATCATTAGATCAAAGGATAATCAGGGTGGTCCATTTTTTATTTTGCGCACTGTACATTTTCCAACAGACCTTTGTCCATTCAAGTTTCTATGTCTTATAGTTTTTGCACAAAAAACAAAATTGAAGGTTAAGTTGAACACTCAAAACAGTGGAGGAAGTCTTTACGATTCTTCAATTTAACAATTTTATTGCATTTTTGAAAATCAATACTTTCAGTCACATCGTTTTAGAATGACAGGTTAAGTTCTTATTTTTTCGTTGTTAAACACAATTACATGAAACTCTGAACATTTCAAAATAGAACAATGATCTTTCAAATATTGTAATAAATCATATTAATTTCACATAAGTTCTTTGGAAATATTTTATTCACACAAACTTTCCAGTAGCTGATTGCAAAAAACCCTTCACTAAGGAAACTTGCAAGTATAATAACCAGTAAAAAGTAAGAGCTATAATTAGCCCAAACAAACAATAAGGACTATTTATTAGGAAATATATGAAACTGGCAAATAACAAGAAATCAAAGAAATGTTTTTAATAAGTACTATTTACACAATAACAAAACTTCCAAAATATTTGTAATTAACAATTCATATGTTGTTACAAACATCTCTAAAAAATTATCTACTCTGAAATATGATTATTTGTAACCTTTCATTTCCTCTAATTTATCATTTTCATATCTGGCATATCTGATTTGCCTTCCGTGTTCAGATTCCAAGTAGTACCAGGCTTTGTAATCATCTCTTTCACCCATCAATTTATTCACTTTATCAATCGTTCTCCTGAAAAAAAAATAATAATTTTTAAGATAAAGAACATTTAAATGAAAAATGAATTTATTTTTCTGTTTAATTTAACACAATTTCAAAATTAATATTTTATGGTACGTCGGCAGGACTCTGTAGGGGACAGGAAATTGGCCTTGCATCAGAAAGGTTGTTGTTGTTTCTCATCCCCACTTGTCAACCGGAGCTAGACCAGGTCCATTAGTCCATTCTCCCTCAGGAAATCAAAAAACAAGACTGGATTGCACAGAAAATCCTCTTTTTCAAAATCCACACAGCTAAAGAGGTGGGCCGGGCTGGCTGCACTGGAGAAACATTCATTGCAGGTGGGATAGACCTTTCGCTGCTGTTCATACCTCATGCACTTTATGTGACCACTGATGAATCTATTGAACACGGTCTGATCGCCTCTATTACCTCTGAAGGTCAAAGCACGACCCGGCTTATCCCCAGCATCAGAAAGGTACTGGGTTCAAATCCCTGACAAGGCACGGATTTTCTTCATTCTCTGTACTATCTGTCCTTACTGTTGGAGCAACATTGACCAACCTTATATAGTGCCCCCGAATGAGTGGACCACAAATCTGCCCTGTAAATGCCTGAATTGACAAAATGTTAACACAGGTGGGCATTAGAAATAAAAAATATTTTATGGTACAGTATACTCTTGATGTCTCAAAGTTGAAGGGATGCTTGAAAATATTTTGAGATAGGGAGTTTTCGAGATAACAAGTTAAGAACTAAATATGCTCTAAAAAGTAGAAAAATATTTTCTTAGATAGTACTCTAAAAAGTAAAGTCATACAATTTAAAAATAACTACTAATAAAAATGTATGTCATGATAGTTAACTATAAGACTAAATACTGTTATGATAATTTTGTTTTTAAAAGTAAGACAAAAATAATTATGCATTGCATAGAAAATTATTGGTTTACAATAAACATACATTGAGAATTTTCCATTTCGAAAAATATTCAACATAACAAGGTTTTGAGAAGAGACTCTTCAACATAGGAATTAAAATTAACATTATGTAGATATGTAGTTTTAAGGGGGAAAAATATTTTTTGACATAACAAAGTTTTCAAGATATAGAAGTTCGATATATCGAAAGTATACTCTATATGAGAATTTTGTTAGGGGAAACATCAGGGGTAAAAATTAAGAAACTTTAATCAGAACCAGTAACTAAAAGATATTAGCTGCACACATTTTCACTGGTCAGTCGACATGTATCTACTATATTTTCTTCATAAACTAATAAAGTGAATTTAAATGAAAAATTACAATTCAAAAAATGCGTAATGTTTATAACTATGATGAAATATGCTACTTTGTGTAAAAACAGAAACCAAATAACCCAAACAACATACTTTTACTTTGCGACATTTGGTTGCTGGTCTAAAGACCCAATTACACTTGACTGAGTCTGATTTTAGTTGTTCGAGATCACAGATCACCACTTATCTCCAGTCCTCTTCACAACACTAAATTATGGCAACAAGTGTATCAAAAATGGCTACTTGAAAAGTATTTAAAAATTTGTGTTTTGTTGTTAAATCATTAAAAAAAACATGACACAAAATTCAAACATCACATCAGAAATTTTAAGAGAGACATGTGTTTGAACTTTACGTTTTGGGTAGTGAGGTAAGCAAGTTTATTCGTGAAATTTTGGCTAGATAAATGAAGACTTTTAAAAAGTAAACATGTAAAATAATATAGTGGCTAATACAATTCCATAACTATAAAAAAAGAAAAAAAAGGAAGAAACTTGATACTATACATTTTTCAAATAACATTAATATAGGATATAGTAAATTGAAGAAGATGTAATTTAATTGAATAATCAGCTTGCATAACACATCAGAAGTCAACATATTTCCCTTTTTTTTAAAAGGAAATGCACAGTAATATATCTATTATGTTGGTACATATGAAATGGATTTTTAAGGGAATGCTCTGTTGAATAAGCTTATTCACCTCATCTTACACCAACCAGCTTTAGTTTTTTTAAACATTTAGAGCAATTTTTACATATTAAAGAGTAAAAAAAAATTAAAACATTCGAAAAAAATTCCATATCAGAGTTTATTGATTTTAATGGTCAATATTTCGTTACGACAGATATCTATGCGTTAAACTCTCACTGGGAAAAGTGTATTGAAGTAAATGGAGCATATTTGGATAAAATGAAAAACATTTTATATATTTACTTAAAAATTGGAGACAACTTAATAAAAACTAAGAACTTTTAACTTACATCCAGTTGCCTCTTTCTTCCTCTTCAACCAATCCTTGAATTGTTTTCTCATAATGGATTTGAGGATCAAGATGAAAATTTTTAGCAATAAATCGGGTAATGGGATGCTAAAATATACAAATTAGAACCATATTTCAGAATAACATTCACATTTTAGGGAAAACATTAATTTTTAAAAATAAGAATAGAAATATAAGATTACAGAGGTTAATATAAAGCTTATTTTTTTGAGGATAAATTTTATAGAGAAGAGGAAATATTTTTTGTGAAAATTTCTTAATTAGATGTAACACTCAATTTTAGCAGTCACTAGATTAATTTTAATATCAAAAGTATTTCCAAAGAGGTAAGAACAGTAATTTGATAAAATATTAACTAAAAAAACTCCTTTTTTATATGCTCAGCTTTGCCCTATTAAAAAAAAAAATTACATATTGATTGAGCATTATTTCTTTACAGTTAAGAACTTTGTTAAGAGGTCCATTTTACAAATTTGAATTTTGTGAAGGGACTATTTATATTAATTCAGATGTTCAAAAGGGGTTGTAAAACCATCCCAATTTCCATGTGGAAAAATTCCTGGGTTAATTAAAAATAAATTTGTCTCTTTCAGATTTAGAAAAATTTATGATACTCCTCCAGCAAATTATAACAGTAAGGGTCAAGTGGAAATGAAAATGGGGTGATTATGATGAACAGTTCCCTTTTTCACAATACGTGGCGTGGCCAGGATAAGAATTAAAAAAACTATGTTTTATCAAGTTCAAGGAATATGTTTAACTTCAGGAACTTTTTTAATATCTCTTACATAAGAATATCATGTTCATATTCAAATAATTCTAAAAAACTAAAAAATGATTAAAAAATTTGGGTGGCAGATGAAAATGAATAACTAAGCCCATGATCCTTTTGTCCCCTCTACTTTTGTAGCTTATTTTACAGCTAATGCTTTTAATTAAAGAAACTTGGAAAAAAAATCCTCAGAAAAAAATCAAAAAAATTCTACATGATTAAATGAAAATTGATTTTAAGTAGCTACAGTGTGAAATATCTAGTGAAACTAAGCAATAGCAAATAGACAGTTTGAAAGCTGTATATTTAATTTCAATAGCAGAAAATAAAATACTTTTCCTGATTACTCCTTCATGAAATATAAATATTATGTTTGAAATAATTAATAAATTATTTTCATTTTGTTCATTCAAAGAAATAACAAAGACTAACTTTAAAACAGATGTAAAAGCACTATATAATTAGAACCAAATAACAAAGAATCAAATCATAATTTGAATTTCTTTACCAACAATTTATACTGATTTATTTGTAAAAAAAATTTAAACTGTGTAATAATATTAAATTCCATAGTTTTACTAAACTGCTATTCAGGAACTATGGAAATAAACTACACTTTTAAGTTCTGATTGTTGCAATATAAACTTATATAATGTTATACAAATAAGAATCATCACACAAATTTAATGGCTTTTTTACGCATATTACTTTTTTAATTGTCAATAGGGGTAATCCACTTCCTATGATAGGTCTGTTTTCATGTCGGATCAGATCATTTTTAAATTAATTAAAATTAATTTAGTTCAAAATTTTTCTGAAAGGTTCCCATTTGTGAAATTGAGTAAAATCTATTCATAATTTTATAAATATAGGGAAATGAGCTTTTTTTTCTTTTTTGGAAAAGCACGAAAAACATGCCTTTCAAGGAATTTTTGTTTAAAATTATGAATTAGAGTTTTTTTTCAAAGGAATCATTTTAATAATAAAAATTTTGTAAAAAGCCCGTTTCAACTATAAACTATTTGGTGAAAAGTTTCTTATTCAAGATAAAATTTAGTGAAGGGTCCGATAAAGGACTAAAATGACCCCTGATCAATGACAAATGTAAAAAATTTTTAAAGTAAAAAAAAAAAAGACACAAATATTACCCTATGATATTCCCAATGTCTAGGTTGATAATCTTCAGGAGTTTCAGTCAATGTGGCTGGCCCAATGAAGATGTTTACATAAAGGATAAGAAGAGTTAGAGGGACAATTCCTAATGTAATGTAGAAATGGAAGTCATCCTTAAAGCGAGTGTACTGGAATCTAGTAGGGGTTATATGCATCTTCCTTTCATCAGACATTTTGCGTACAGCTATAAAAGAATAAACATATAAATTAAAACAAAAAGAAACATGTTTATTTTATGATTAAAAAAATATATCTTTAACATTTAAAATTTGAAAAGTCTTTTCGATTTTATCATAGATAGAAAAGCAGGAAACAGCTATAGAAACTCAGCGTTATTTCATTAGTTTTAAGTGATTATTAGAACAAGGCCCATAAATGCAAAATTCTTCATTTGTCAGGATTGTTGCATGCACAAAACATAAAAATTTATTGATGGTACAAAATTTGATGAAAAAATAATAAGGTTTGCCTTTTTGGGGATGAAATTCAATGTATAGCAAAATAAAATTGCATTAATTTCAATAAATAGGTGCCATAAGGCACTGTTGTAAATAGGCTGCTTAATGAGTCATTGAGCTTGAAGTACCACAGAAGCAGAATTTTTGAATAGCTAGCAAAGCATTGCACAGAGAAAAACCCTGAAAATGTTATGTGCCAAACTCTAATAACAAAATATCAATTTACTATTCATATTGAACATAATTATTTGGACTGAGATTTATAATTAAATTCTCAACCAAATAGCGATATTGGATTTTTAAATCGTGTAAATATGAATCGCGGTGTATGATTTTTAAAATGTATCAAGTTTGGATGTAAGAAAGAAGGGCATATTTTTCTTAACCTTTTAGACTTTTAAACAAATATCGGATGCATAAAAACTGGCAAACTATTCACCTCCAGAAATAATTTATAGTGTAAATAATTTATACAAAAAAACCTAGAGTAAACATTGAAGTTTCAAATCCAGAAAAAGAAATTTTCAAGATATCAAAATGAAAATAAATTATGACAATAACTTAAGATTACACAATAAGGAAGTTTTATCCCAATTGTTTGTTTGATATTTTAAAAAAAAAATTCAGCATTTGAAACTTTATGGTTTACTTCAGGTTGGTCACTTTTTCAATGCTTTAAATTAATAATGGAGGAAAAATAGAATTTGAGATGAAAAGTTTCTCACACAGCAATGCATCCTCTTAGCATTTTATTATCATAATAGATTATTGAGAGTTACTTAAATTCAATCTCAATAAATAAAAAGTATAGACATTTCTCAATTTTTTCGACTATCAACCACTTTATAGCTGCCAAATTATAAAATAAATAGAATTAAAAAAAAACAGTAATCTTTAGAAATATTGTAGTTGCTAAATAGGATATATCGTAAACACCGAGTAGTAACAAAATAAGATATTTAATTACTCAAACTGTAAACTAATCTGCACAAGTAAAGTTGAAATAAGTGTAAAAATAGTATATTGCCGAATAAGTTATAAAATAATACCACACTAAGTTTTATATTTGTTTAGTTAAAAAATATAAATAAATGTTTACAGAATATAGTGTCCTCATAGCAGAATATGCTAAAAAAAGTGTAGCACACTCCACAGAACAAGAATCCTTCCTACAGAATAATGATTATATCAAAAAATTATAATAAAGTATTTAGAAAAATATCATTTTGAAAAAATATTTTTTAAAAAAAAATTATTACATTTGGAGCCAGGGTTTATTTTGCAGAGGGAAGTTTTCAGATCAGCCTGTACTGTCATAGATCGTAATGTCAGTGTTCAAGTACTTGACTAAATATAAAAAGGAGGGAAAATCGAAAACTCAAACGGATGTTTAATGATTTAAAAATATCTGCTCGTAAGAAAGTAGATTGCTTTAAATATAAGATACATATTATTTTTAAAAATTTGAAATCCTACTATCACCGTTATCATTGCTATAAACCTGAAAGCATTGCTCAAGAAATTAATAACCCATATAAAACTTGAATAAAAAACCCAGGGGTCGAAAAAACTCAGAAATTTTACTCGTCCCCGAGGACGGTATGTCCAACAATGTACCCGTCCTCCTTTGAAACTAACCCGCAGCTTCTAAATAAATAAAAATATAATTTTCTCTTATTTATTACTAATATTTATATAAATTGCACAATGAATTAGTAGTTACTAGGATTATAAATACTAGGATTACACTATACAGTAATAAAAGAAATACTAGGTTACTAATAGTAAAACCTAGTATTTCTTTTATGAAATAATTTAAATGACAAAGATCAAGTTATCTGGAATGTCAATTTATTCGCGGGTACTGAGTTTTTTAAATAAATTAAATATGACGTTTGCCAGTTTCACAATCAATCCAATGATTTACAGAGGTTTCTGCACAAGAAATCTGAAAGAGGTTTTCCATTTAGGTAAGATGTTCATAACTGCATTTAACGCTTCTTGTTTACGACCAGTACTTAACGCGTTTTTTTGTTAGTTCATTGCTGAAAAGCCCCTTTCAACGGCTACAGTACTCCCAGACAAAGAAAACATCAATTCCACCATGCGCTGTATGTTGCTGTATTTCCAGATTAGAGGGTCATTTTAGAAGTGAGGCGCTAGACTCTTGTAGAGAACAAAAATAGAAAATATATCACAAACATTAACGGGAAAATGGCCGTCGGCGGGGACGTCGGATTTGAGAGGTTTGTTGTCCGCGGGGAATTTTTGACCGCTGAGGACGGGCGGTTTTTCGAGCCCTGAAAAAACCATTACTGGAAATTAAATTAGATGTAACGCTTAAGAAAAAACTGAGAATCAATAATGATGCTGGTATCAGCACTGAAAATGACATTAATATATAACAATAGGGGTGCACAACCTTTTTGAGTGAAGGGCCACTTGCACAGCAGGTTGGCTAACGAAGGGCCGCACATGTATTTAGACATGTTAATGACAAATGTAATAATGTTTATTTAAACATTAGCGTCCCATTTTTTTTATCAATAAACTTAGTAATATCAAAAACTTAGTAGTGTTCCATTATTAGAATTCATTCAAAAATAAAAAAACTTGATAATTTTTTTTTTTTTTTTGGCAAAAAAAAATAAATAAAAAAAAACCCAATTTTATCATATGAACAATAGATTTATCAAAATAAATAAACATTGAAGAAAAGAAATATTTTTTTTATCATATTATGCAATATGAAAACTCATTTATAATTAAATTCTAATAAATTAAAAAAAACTGCAATGCCCACAGAATGAAAGTAGGAAAAAGTTTAGTCGTAATTAAGTAATATAAATTCAAATTAAATATTTTAATTGAAGAAAATTTACAGGTTTTAAGCAAAAGCCTAAAATAAAAAATAAACTGTGATAGTTCAAAATAAAATTCAATGCTTATTTTGTAATGTACTTTATTATTTTAGTTTATTAAATATTAGATTTTTTATAACGTAAACATTTTCCTTTTTTTATCGAAAAAGATCACTTAAGCAACAAAAAATTGAAATCTAAACTACAAACAGTGAGCAGTTTAAAAATTCACATTTTCTGCCATTTTATGAATTTCTCAAGTTGCAATAACATTGCATTTAAATTAGGGAGGGATGTAACGAGTATTTGGCCCTTCTGCGAAAAATTCAGTTGGTTGAATGATCAGTCAAATATTTGGCAGAATATTTTTTAGAAATGTATTTTTCTAAGTTATTTTTATTTTTGAATTTTTATAGATATTACTTTTTTTTTTTAATTATAATCAGACAAGTCAATTTTGTCATTTTTTCGATATTTTGAGAATTGAGAAGGATCCATTTTTTTCAGTTATTATTATAACCCAGCATTTTAACAGAACGCCTCATACTATTAATTTATTATCACTCTTTCCCTGCACTGTAATATAAATAACCAGTAACATAGAAGAGTGTGATTTTCAGTATTAAAGTTTTGTTTCAGGAGCTAAGAAAAATCTGTTTCTTCTGTTTTTCTTTTTTTAGTTATTTTTATTATGACTTAGCATTTTTTTTAAAAATAAAGTTACAAATATAATTCATTTTATAGCAATTTTTTTTCTTTTAAAATTACGGCTATGAGAAAAATTTAAATTGAGATTTTCGGCATAAGATTTTCACTTAAAAAATTAAGAACATTTTTTCCATCCTTTTATTTTCTTTAAATAAAAAAAAAAAACTTTTTTTAGACGTTTTCATTAAAACGCAGTAGTTTTTAATAGCATTTCTGTTGACTTAATTCTTTTTTCTTCGCTTTTTCTGGTAATTGAAAAACTGAGATGTTCAGCTTTAAAAAAAAATTTCAAAAATTAAGATTGATTTTTATGTTCTCTGTTTCGCTTTTCGACATTTTCAAAAACGTTCTTGATTGGCCTTATTTTTTAGAGTTAATTTATGAATACGTTTTTCCAGGAAATACTATTCTGAGCATTGAAATTTTAGTTTCAGTGTTGCTATACTGCTAAAAGATTTTGCTATTTGGCCCCAAGTGTACGGCGTTCCATAGATTTTTTCTTCTTTTTTTGCCGAATATTTGGTTTTTGATCAAATCACAATTCATTACCACATTCGACCAAATCATATTTGTTGCGGAAATAAAAACGAAGGAAAAATAACTAGGATTTACTATAAAACTGTACCATAATACCGTATCAAAAAGTGATTATTTAATTGCGTGATTAACAATCACGTGTCATATTAACATCATAGTTAAATAACGGGATCGTCAAAATTACGAGGAAAAGTATAGAAATAATTAGGAAAAAATATATTTATGCTGAACTCAGCACGAATAAAGCGCGTCAAATGGATGATTTAAAATTTGCATGTCGTAACCGAATAATTGGAATTTTTTATAATACGTGGGAACGCATAGCAATAACTGCCGAGAAAAATGTTTGAAAAAAAAAGAAAGAATTGCAAAAAAAGATAAAAAATCACTTAAATTTAAGATGAAATCGTCACAAATAAAGTGCACAAAAAGTGATTATTTAAATTTGCGATCTGAAACTCGCGTCGTAATAAAAATTCGGAATTTCAGGGATGAGATTAACCAAAAGGCAAAAAAGCTGAATTTCCACGTTAGTAAATTTTATGCAAGCGCAACCCTTTAATAATAAATTCCAGACAGTTTAAGGTAATAAATAATGTGTTGACATACAATTGTGTACTAATCTATTATTATATAAATGATTACATTGATACTTAACATTTAGTGAAAATAAAAATTACCAATTGAAAAAATAAAGCTGGAAATTATATTTTTCCTCAGTTCACATAAGAGACAATTATTACTTGAAAAACTACCTGGTTTAGCAAATTAAAACTACTGAGAATATACATTAATATTTCATTTCTTTTAATAAATACTGCTATGTGATTTATTGAAAATATATCAGTAATATTACTTTTTAAATTATATTGGAAAAAAATACTTTAACAATGGACCGAATCATTATGTGCATATTATAGTCTAATCTAACTAGAGCTCTTTGAAACATATCAATAACAGTGAAGTAGAAATATATAGTAACTCCTTTAAAATAGCAAAATACAAAAATTGCTATTTTAGTTTGAAAAATTACATGACAATGAGCAACGGCTTAGATAATTGTTTTTTATCTGATAAGAATTTTGCCTTTTACAGCATAAATAACAGCAATTATAAATAAAATTTTGATGATGAGTTAACTCTTTTTCCAAAAAAAAAAAAAAAAAAAATTAATTAAATCCCTTTTTAAGTGATTGCTTTTGTTTGCTATATTTAGTTGTTAGTTCATCTTCAAAGATCTTGCGACAAATTCTATTTTTTCTTCTTTGCAAGCATAGAATGTAAGTTTTGAATATATTCCCTTCCAGTTTCTCTGATGTTGTAACACTTACATATACTAATAATCGTCGTTAGAAAAACAGTCACCTTTATAGTAGCTAATTAAAAATAATAATTTAGTTCTTACAAGAATCGCGATAGTTGATCTTAAAATTGCGTGAATATGAATAACAATTATGGATTTTGAAATCACATGAATATGAAACTAGATATACGATTTTGAAAATGAGGAAATACAAACTGGGATATAGAATTTTTAAAACGCGTAAATACAAATCACGATTCATAATTTTTAGATCACGTAAATACGAATCATGATGCGTAATTTTTAGATTGCATAAATAAGAATTATGATGCATAATTTTAAGAATGCGTGAATGTGAATCCCAATGCTTTATTTTAAAATTACGTATAAATACGAAAATCAATGTTTGATATTATAAACCACATGAGCAAATCAAGATATTAATTTTAAACTTGCTTGAATACGAATAGCTACATAGGTTTTAAAAAGGCGTAAATACGAATCACAATATAGGATTTTTAAATCTCGTAAATAAGAATCACAACGTACAATATTCAAATCGCGTGAATAAGAATCGCAACACGCAAATATGAAAAGCTATGTTTGATATTAAAATCGTGTGAATAAGAATCGAGATATTAGCAGATTCCAGGCTTGGGACCTCTAAAAGGCTTGTCAGAAGCAGCGTCGTTTGAACTACAAAAATCGGATCTATCTGGAGGGCGGGTAAAAAATTCGGAAAATCTTATCTGCTGCTAGTAAAAGGGGAGAAAATAGCTATAATAAGCAAAAATGAGAAAGGATTGGTAGCTATGTAGTTTGAATTTTCTGTTTCTTTTTGAAAATCGGTGAATTTTCTGAAAAAGCGGAATACTTATGAAAAAAGTGAAATTTTTAGAAAAATCTGAATTTTTGATAAAAAAAACTGAAATTCAAGATATAAAAATGAAAAAAGCAGAAATCCGCTAAAAAGCGGAAAAATCTCATTCCTGGAATTTTCGAAATCACGTAGAAAAGCGGAAATAACTGTTTAAAAAAAATCATTTATATTTAGGAATAAATTCGGCTTCAAGATAGCGCGTTAAACATACATTTGCTAAAGAATCTGTTAAAATTGATTGTGTCAAAATGTGATGACTTAAACGTGCGATTAAAAATTGCCATTTTTTTTAAAAAACATTTATTGTGTTTAGAAGCTCTCGCGGGCCGCACTTCAGTAGTCGAAGGGCCGCATTTGCCCCGCGGGCCGCAGGTTGTGCACCCCTATATAACAAGAAAAAGAATCTATTACAAAGAAGAATCAATTATGAACAGAGATACTATGGATAAATTATTATCATTATTAGAAGGTAAGAATTTTTTAAAATAATATGTCTTACGAGAAAAAATAAAATGTGTCGTTTCCTTGAAATTGGGGCATAACATTAATGTAGTGGGTATATTATTTTCTCCATTACTTTTTAACTATTGAATGCTGGATAGGATTTTGCGATATTTCTGCCCATCAACTATTTTTGATGATTCTTAATTTTAGAATAATAAAAATTAATAAGGTAAGAAGAAAAAAACCTCTTCATAAGAAATCACTTTCATGGCCTAATTTGTTTATGCAAATAATTTTTACTATTTTAGCTTTTTTGGATCTACATTTTGAATTACATCCTTTTATTTTGTGCATGCTAACGTTTTCTTATGTTCTAAAATGGTAAACCCTACTTCTCTACTTATAATGGATAGTTTGGTTCTGTTTAAAAAAAATTATCAACTTATTAGATTCCATGTTCCGTTTTTTTTTTTTTTTTTCCTTTTTTATCTTTGTCACGTGTATGTCATATTTTCTTTTAATTTCTGATTTATTTCATTTTTAATAAAAGATTGCAGATAGGATAATATATAGCTTAATTTTCAAATTAATTCATTATTGTGTAAACCACAAAAAATAAATTGCAACTTTAAACTTATTTTTAATTTGCAAATATATGTCTGCAATTTGCAATAGCAAATGTATGTATTATTGCCCATAATAGTCACAACAAAATCAAATTATGTGCAAAGGAAACAGTTAATTACAAGCATACACTATCATTGACATATTTTATTTCATATCTCATTTTTAAATTAAATGTCTAATTGACTTATATTTACGTAAGTTTGCTCAGAAACGAATACATACATAACTGCAGAACATTTTCACTCATTTATATGCTTGTTTCAGAACATTGCCAAAGTATCTGCTTATGGTGCATAGCAAAATTTGTCTTTGGGTCTATTTGTCCTAAGGCAAAACAGATAGCCATAAGCATGGAAATTTTTTCTTAGCTGAGTTATGATGCTAAAAATAACTTTATTTAATTTTGAACAATTATTTAGTGTGACCTGAAGCAGTATAAATGCCAAATCTTGGGCTATAAAATGGGCCCTATTATGGAGCAAGATTATTTTAGCATAAAATAACGTTTAATCATCTGTTTCAGGACTTAATTATATTAAACTGCTAAAGCTTCTAACAATTTACTTTATTATAAAAAGAAAAAGAGTAAGAGGTAGGACACAACGATAAAATTCTTTAAAATAATGACAAGGTCACAATGGTAAATACAAAGTAAATTAATTAAATTACCCTCCATAATAACATTCTGTTGCTTTGTGAGGAGAATCCTAGTAACATTAGATACTTTGAGTGCCGTAGGTAATCGACTTAATAGAGATAAAGTGCTTAAAACAGACATGTTAATTATCAAATTTTATTTCTCAAAGTTACCGAAAAATGAAAATAAACAAAGTTTTGACGTGATAGTTGCCACAAATAATGAGGAAATTTATAAAATAATAAAGCAAATCTGGAAGCAAGAACTCGCTATAATTTTTTTCAACGGAATGAACTTGTTCAATGTAAAATTTTTAAAAATATATTATATTTTCGCAAAATTATGAAACATTACGAATGACATAAATTTGCCTAATATATCTGAAAATTGGAGTTAAGTTTTAAAATTTTTAGTGAAAGCATCGTCTAAATTCTTTACGAGTATTTATTTGAAAAAATATTTGTAAAATTGTTAGATATCAAAGTTATTTCCATTATTTCGATTTACTTAGTTTTAATTATGCACTTCAACTTTAATCACGTTTAATTCCTCGAATCCATAATTTCTGTCTCCGATTGCTACGAAATTTGTCAAGTTTTTCAATTACAGAATGCTTTTTCTACTTTAATTTTTAATAAATTCTTAATAAAGTTTGGTATAAAATGTTTTATATTTAATAGATTTTATATTCAGTCAATTATTACTGTATACAATGCCGTCAAAAGCTGAAGACATTCTTCAAGGATTCAAATTGTAAATTTATTTACTTATTCTATAAATTATTTATTTTATGTTTTTCTCTATCATAATTAAGAAATCTAAATTAACAAGATTTATTTTAATGTAAGTGATTCAAAGATATATCAGACTTAAGTTATAAAGAATAATATCGCCTTATAGTAAATAAATTTCAGATGAATAATAAAATAATACATTTTATTGCTATTGTTCCTTTTTTTTTACCCCTTAAAATTGTAGATCTTCTATATTTGCAATTTTTGTAGTTCCAACCTAGTGATTGATGCCTTCAATCATTAATCTCATGTGTTAAGTGATTATTTTTTATATTTGTTTCTTTTTTTTTTAACAAATTTTGTTTATTTAACACTTTGTCTGAACAGGTTGACTGTTATATTATAATATTAGGACAATTGAAAATATATAATGTCTTCTTTCTAAATCTTTTTCTTTTTTTTTCTATTCTCACAATAATTACAATTAACATTTGAATCTATGTCAGTGGGAGATAGCAATTACAACATATGCTACTTGATATCACCAACTGCAATTGCCAAGGTGCCATTTCTTAGCTTTCCAGCTCTTTAATTAGAATCAATTAAAAATATTTAGATTTAGACTCTAGTTGTGAATCAAATGGAAACATTCTACAGTTAACCAAACAGTTATTTTTTTTTATTCATAATTGAATGCTTGCTATAACTTAAAATATCTTTTAATGCTCTCTTTTTTGAACAATAAATAGACAGTTTAGATCGACATATGGAAATTTTGAGGATAAGGTGCAAATTAAAGTTTTCTAATTTGCATATATTCCTCTTTACTAAGTTAGAAACAATTACATATGATCTAGAAAAAAAAATTTAAAATCATGCCACAAATTTCTCAGTTTTGTTTAAAACAGTGGAGTCAATAGAGAAAATGATACTTTGATTCCAACATCTAGAACTTTACACTTAACGACTCCAAATCCCTCTCATATTTATAAACATAGGCACCTTTAATGTAATAAAAGAAGTAAAAGATGCTTCAGAACGAAAAATTTATGGCTTAGCAGAATATTATATTAAGTATTTATTATGAAAGTGAAAAACTGGCATTAGTTATTTCTGAGAAACAGTATAGCTTCAGCAAGAACTTCTTTAATAGAGAACCATAGATGTGATTTGATATATTTTACAACTGAGAAGGAAAGGGAAAAACTTTTACTAAACTTTTTAGGATATATTTGTATAAGTTCTATTGATTGATTCTAGTGGTTGTGAGAGTATTTCTATATTTTTTTCAAAGGCTATTTACGAATCTTGTTTGTATTTTTCCATTTTTGTTCCTAAAGTCTCTTGGTTCTTTATTTCCACCATATGCTTTACCTTATCCTTTTCAATATTATCCAAATAATGTTTTTGTTGCCTATTTTAGATTTTGTAATTTCCATTTTTGAAATACAGGATTTATTTAAACTTCAGTATGCTTCTTATGAGAATAAGTTGAAGTAAATTTTTTAATTATTGTATGAGAATGATCAAATTGTACTGGATTATTTTTTACTTGATAAATAATTATCTTCTTTGATATTCTTATGATTTTTTTAAATTTTTATTAATGTTCGATTTTACAGAAATTGGATGAATCTACGAGATGCTGATTCTGGTAAAGTCTTATGGCAAGGATCAGAAGATCTGTAAGTTGAGACTATAAAAGCTTTAAATTATGTATATTTCTTTTATTTATTATACCATAAATTGTATACCTATGACTGTATTGTTTGCTTACAGTGATTCCCTGATACAGTACAGAACCCGTTATCTGGAAATCAAAAAACCGGAACGAAATTCGATAAATTTTCCTGCCATTTTCAAACAAAAAAAAAATTTCCCTCATAGGATTTTTCTTTCTATTTTGAAAGATGTCTACCTTACCATCATTTTGGAAATAATCATTAGTGTATTACTTCATCGTTTTTTCTTCTTTTTAAGATTATTTTAATTTTCTTTTTTAGTTGGGTTTAACAGTAAAAAAAAAAAAAAAGGCTTTTTGTAGCGATTCAGAAAACCAGAAAAATCAGTTATCCGGAATAGCGATGGTCCCGATCGTTCCGGATAATCGGTTCCCTACTGTATTTGGGAAATTACAAATGAATACCCGAAGAGTTAATATTTTACTTTTCAACGATGTTCTTTTTACTAAAAGCGAAAGCTTCAAACTGGAACTTAATTGTTATGCGTCTGTTTTGGCAAATTTTTTCGCAACAACCAATTTTCGCACATTTTTTTAGCATCACTTTTGTCATGTGCCAAAAACGAGATCAGTTATTATAACCCTATTAGCTCCTTCTTTGATGGCATGGCATCTCATGTGTTCAGCGTTTTTGTGCACATATGGTCAGCGTCACATGCCATGTGACTAAGAGAGAAGCTGCATCGTTTAAATTGAATTCGCTGCTTCTTACATGGCTCTTTAAATCCCATGATTATTTTTGTATTTCTAAATATTGCTAAAGGATGGTGCGACTAATCCCACTTTCTTCACAATTTTCACAGTGAGCCTTTCTGTAACTTCGCTTTCATTGGTGTTATAAATTATTCATTAGTTTTAAAATTATTTTATTTCATTAGTATTGAAATTAATTATTATTAATTATTTCTTTAGTATTAAAATTATTTTCCAAAATATTTTTTATCTAATTTTAATAATTTTATGCAAGCTTAAACACCTTAAAGCAATACCAACTAAGTTCTTTTAGCAAAACTTCTACTAATAAAAATTTATTTTAATAGTTACTTAAAATTGTTTATTAATTTTATAATATATATGTAGCAATAATACAGTTTACTCATTTATTGTATAAGTATATATTTACATTTTTTTTAAATACAATGACATTCCTTAATGTAAATCGATAATTTTTCATCATATTTAAAATTATTTATAATCTATCATTTTAATGATTAATTTTATTAACTTCTTTTTTTCAGGTCTAAGCCTGATGTTGAACATGAAGGTATTTTTGTTTTTAATTTTTATACTTTATAATGATAAAGAAATATTCCTGTATTAATTTTATTTGAAGTTAATTATTCAATTTTTATTAAAGGAGTGTTTATTCTTTCAATGTTATTTGTGACATTATTTTTCAATGAAATAAATAAATTTATGACTATATAAAGTAAGATTTTATCAATTCAGCTTATTTTCAACTTTATTCTATACATATGAAAAGCTAACAAAATCCTGGAAATAAAGCTAAATTTGCTTTTTCTGGAGGACTATCTCTTCCTTCCATTAAAAATCAAAAATGTAATTGATTCATAAAATGAAAGTATTATGTTACTCTACAATGACCCGAAAAATTTAGTTTAAGAATTAAGTAGAGACGTAACTCTATAATCCATTTTTTGATTACGTTTTCAATGGATCAAAGTGACATGTTATTTAAATATATTTTTCTGACTTAAATGTGGGTGCAATTATAATCCTTTTCTTTTTCTCACACTTTCATAATTTTCTTCAATTGATAGAAATATAAGGAAATTAAAGAAATAAACATGACATTTTTATTTCTTTCAAAATTCATTTTGAAACTTATTTGATATTCGAGTGAGAGGAAGAAAAAAAACACGTACATGAAAATTATTGCTCTTACCAATTTGAATTGTGAAATTATCAATGAATTCAACCCATTGTGATTACTAAAATAAAAATGAATTAACATAAAAGTACAATCATCATGGTCAAATCATTATTAATCATTTATTTAACATATTGTGCTAAATATTAAATTCTGTTTACCATGTATCTGTTAGTGGAAAACATTGGCATATACTTTGTAACTGAGATAGCTTTCTTGATCTAAAGACATTTTTGAAGTAGCAACAAGAAAATTATGTTTTTTTCTTGGCAATTTCAGTATTTTTTATTAATAAGTACTGAGATAAGGTTTTATATGTAAATAGGTAATAGGAGCTATTTTGACACTTTTTACTTTATTATTCAAGAGAAATATTTATAATTATTTAAATTATTGTGTGTAATACTACTTTCAATAATCTAGGAACTGAAAGTTTGCTATTTGTTTAGTAACTGGCAAAATATTATGAGCGGGGGACAGTAGATCTTTGGTTTAATCTAATTCCTATATGAGTGTATTCCTGTAATGTGATTTCTTCTAATGTTTTAAAATATAAAGTTGCATTTACATTTCATGTTAAAATTTAAATGCTATTTTACGCTTATATGTATGTGATTAATGTTATTTATGCTAATATATATGTGACAAAAGGGCAGATATTTTAAATTTCTGAATTAATGTTCACATTCTTCATCAAAAATAACAAATCAGGTTTGCATAATTTATTTTTCAATATTTTCAAGCTTAATGTACTCTATGATTATAATATCCATCTACATGCAGCACATTGCAATTTTATTTATAGATTTTTATATCTTACTTAGTATTTATTGTATACTTATCAATCTATGGAATGAAAAAAAAAAATTCCTGGTAAAAAATTTAAAGCATATTCAAAGTATTTTGTACACATGTATGTTCATAGATATTTTTTATTTATGAACAGTTTAATTGTTTTTTAGTGTATGATTCTTTGAACTATACTGAAAAAAAAATGCATTTTAAAATTAAGACAGATCACCAGGCCAAGAATTTTCTTTGGGTATTTTTACATTTTCATGCTATTGATTGATATTCATTATACTTTTTATTCTAAACAATAAAGTTTATTAAAGTGGCCACAAAACTAAAGTCAGAAAATTTTATTAGGATGAAAAACTCAGCGAATTATCAAACATATTTAATTAAGATAACCTATAAGTTTGTGAAAAGGAATTAGTTAATTTAATTCCATTTGGGCTATACTGATAAAAACAAGCTCTTTGGGTTTTAGAAATAGAGCCAAGCAAGAGTTTTGCTTCAATATTTTGGGAATTCAAGCATTTTTACATTTTTTATTCATATTCATTCATTTATTTATTTATTTTAAATAAAGAACATGATTATGTCAAATAATATGGATCAAAGTAGACAACGTTGCTATTATAAATGAGGTAGTTAAGGGTGCATTGTGGTTGTAGTTTGTGTGCTTATTGGTATTTAGAATTATTTAGATAATAAAATTTTACCATAAAATAGTTACGTTGTGATCAAAGAAAAAAGGATTTCATATGAACATATTAATTTCAGCTCGTGTACCAAAGAAAATTCTGAAATGCCGTGCTGTTTCTCGGGAAATAAACTTTTCTTCTATTGAACCAATGGAAAAATTTCGTCTTGAGCAACGTGTGCTTTTTAAAGGAAGGTGCTTAGAAGGTATGAATAGTTAAGCACTTTTTATTCGGATTCATTATGTATCTTTTTGTGTTTATCTAAACAGGTTATTATAATTTTCTATCGTAAATATTATATTTCAAAATGATTTATTAGAACAAACTAGTAAAACAGAGGTTTAGTCTAAATCATGCTTAATATTTACCTTACTTATTATCAGTGAATAAAACTGATTGATTATATTTTTTTGTATTTACTAAGGAATACTAAAAACATGCAAAGACAATCAGTCTGCAGATAGCTAACGTCATGAAAATTCATTCCTAAAACCAAATAATTAAACTCCCGCAGATAACGTTACGTTGAGTAATAAAACATTAACTATGTCGACCACCTTCTCTTTTTCCACCTGTACAATCTGTCACATCCCTCTTCCCACAACGCTAAATATCTACTTCCAATATAATCTTATTTACGTCATTCTGTATGTACGATTCTCCTATAATTTCATTATCTCTGTGCTGACTACATTCTAACGCCAGATTATTATCTATTACCGTATGAAAGCGTTAATCATTTTACATGTTTGATCAAATATTTGCGAGTTCGCATTTGCGCCTACTGCGCTAGATTCGGTGAGATTCTTGCACTCTTACGTGCAACTTTGCTGCATTTTGCAAAATATTCTAAATTTCAGACTTAATTGCAGAACTTTACTTGAAAATAAGCACATACTAGATCTATTATTTCGACGCCTGGTGGCTAAGTGGTAGCGATTCGCTCTACTGTGCCACAAGTCCTGGGTTCGATCCTTGGGCCGGACAAGGTTGACTCAGCCTTTCAGTGGGTCGATAAATGAGTATCAAGCATGCTAGGGAACCAAACACTTGGGGTTCCCCGTTCGGATGACCAGAACATCTGCTCCTGCACCCCAGAGTCCAAGGTCAGGAGAACTGAGATAGGCGCAGGCCTTAGCCTTCTATGGGCTGTCGCGCCACTGAGTTTAGTTTAGTTTAGATCTATTATTTCTTGAATTTTTTTATTCCTTATCAGAAAAAGAGTGTTTAGCAAAATAGTTCGAGTTTAGAAATACCTTTATGAAATTATTCTTAAAAACTTTTGTGCACTTTTAAACATTAATTATAAAAATTTCATCGTTTATATATTAATTTAATTTGTTAGATTGAGAGTAAAATGTTAATTATCAACTTGCGTGAATAAGAAGTTAACTTGTATGCTAAACATACACAAAATTATTTGTTTCTGAAGTTTAAGGGGAAAAAAATCGTTTTTAACATGATGATGCAAGTAATTTTTCCCTAAAATATATGGTAATTCTATAGATTAGGTCTGACTTAATTTTTTTACATTGCTCAATAAGATTGACAACTTCTAAGCGTCTATAATATATCCTTCCTCCCCCTTTTAAGCGTCTGTATACATCCTTCAAACTTCAATTTTTTTTTCTTTTTGCAGAATGGTTTTTTGACTTTGGTTTTGTGATACCCAATTCAACAAACACTTGGCAGTCATTGATTGAAGCTGCGCCTGAATCCCAAATGATGCCAGCAAATGTGTTAAAGTAAGTATATTGCAAAGATTTAATTTATTTTTGCTGTTATTTCAGATAAATTGTAATTTCTATAAAGTACTGTTTTTTAGTAATAAAACTAGATAAAATCAACATATCTATTGTATATATTTACACTTGATGCAATTTACGATAACATCCCTTTTATATTTATTTATATTTGGAGCTTAAATATCAATGCTATAAGTCAACTTAATATCAATACTGCCTATTCAGTATATTATTTGCTGCATTTAATTGTTTACTGAATATAATAACTCTCGACATTTATCTCTGCTATTTTGTTTGCCTTATTATTTTGTTTCTTTATTTCCTCGTTACCTATGTGTTTTTGCTTTTAATTTAAATCAATTATAATTTTTGTCAAATACATTTAGTTTCGACTATGATAATCATTGCTATAAAACTTGTTGCAATCTTTATTTAAAAATGATTTACATTAGTAAATTTAAATGTGATGAATCTAGTTATAATATTACATGCTTTTTATTCATTAATGCAAAAATGTGTGCGCCAGACTTTTTTCGAATTACAATGCCTCAATACTTTTCTCTTGCAGCTATTTTGCTAGGCTCATTACATGTAAATGTATGCTATGTCTGTTAGCTCTTCATTGTATTTGTATTATCTATTTCAATTTATGGAATCCAGGGCAATATAGATTATTCCAACTTTATTCATATAATTCGTTATAAATAAAATTTATTGAAGTTTATTTAGAATGTTTTACTTTACTTACCATATTCAATTGCAAAATAATAACTGGTGGCATAGTTCCTATGTAAAATTGCTGGTAAACAAAAAGTTAAAACAGCCTCAAAAGGATTATTCATTAATCCTCTTTATATTAAAAAAATATTAAATTAAAACTATTATTAATTATGTTAATTAATGGAACAGTGAATATGGTAAGGCTCTTCATTGCACATATATTATTTATTTCAATTTATAAAATTTTGGGGCGCCCGATGGCTGAGTGGTAGCGCTGCATGCTCCCGTGCCACGGATCTTGGGTTCGATACTCAAGGTAGGCCTTGGACCTCTATGGGCTGTGTCGCACCACTGTGTTTAGTTAGTATTTTATAATGAAATTCAGGGCAATATAGATTTTCTCAAAAGTTATTCATATAGTTCATGTTCTACATCAAGTTAATTTCATATAATTCAACATAGATAAAATTTATTGAAGTTTATTTAGAATGTTTTACTTCACTTACCATCTTCAATTACGAGATAATAGCCGATGACATAGTTCCTGTTTAAAATTGCTGGACAGTAAAGAGTTGAAAAAGCCTCAAAATTATTATTCATTAAGTCTTTTTTCTTTCTTTATTTGATTGCAAAATATTAAATTAATAGAACTTTAGAGTATATGGTAAGGACTTGAAAAAGTACTTTCGAATATGTAAAATTGTATTTTTACTGATTTTTTTTTAATGGCTTTTACCAAGCAAATAGATGTTATCCAGTAGCAGCTTTTGTCTTTTCTTTTTTTTTCTTTCTCTAACATACTTAATTTTCAATTTCATTTTACTTACATACATTTTTATTTATGAATATTTATTATTTCATTTATACTTCGATGAATTTAACACAAATGTAAAAATAATTGTAGTTGAAGTAATCAAAGTTTACTAAGTTTTCTTCTATAAACATTAATTACTTATGTTTTCATCATAATTTTTAAGTTACTTGAATAATATAGCTATTTTAAAGATAGAAACTGTATTTTACAACAAATAAGTGGGACAGTTCTTTATTTATGGTAATATTTGGTTTAGGTAATTTTGTGTCTTAAAATATATTTAAAAGTTTTACCTTTAAGAAAATGTAGGTATGAATAACTTAAACTAATATCCTATTTCACGTACTGAATACAAATTTAAAACTTGTGATAAAAATTTTTTTTATCAATTTAAGTGTTTAGAAAATATTTTTTAACCAAGTTTTTTTATCTGATTTGAAGATTTTGATTTGTAATTTGAAGGTTTTGTAATAATTGTTTATTACAGCCTTGGTGAAACTTATAATTCTTTACCAAACACAAGTACTTTGATTTTTCCTTCCATTCAAGAATATTAATTTCTAATGCTTTGTGTAAAGATATTTTATGTTTCTTTTTCAGTGGTAATGTCATTATTGAGACTAAGTTTTATGATGGTGACCTTCTAGTCAGCACTTCTAAAGTACGTCTATTTTATGTATAATTAAAGGGAAACTACACTTCTTTTCATGCACCAGTTTTGTTCTTACATGTCTTATGTCCACATTGAACAAAATCACTGGAACAATTATACAAGATCATTTGTTTTTTTGAGAACTGATAAAATTCACTAGTAGTGAAGTATCATGCTTGTTAATTTATTTTAATGAATGCTTATTGTGCATTAGAATGAATGAATGAATTGTTATTTGAATCAATATAGTGAAATTTTCTTTATATCGATACATGAAGACATTGTTTCTACGGTGCTTTGTTATATATATATTTTTTCTATTTAATTAGAAAACAATTTTTGTACAGTGAAATCTTGATTATCCAAACTCTTTTCATAGACGAGCAATTCTGTTGGCCAAAATGGATTTCCTATTTATTTATTTTTTACGTGGTGATTGCTGATTTATATCAATGCTCATGTTTGATGCATGATGTTTAAAATTTGTAAGCAAACAGAAAAATAATTCAGCTGTGCATTCTAAACATATACATTGCAAACATTTACGCTATGTAAATTGCATTGAATGCATGCCTGCCAGGTCGCCTGTTTTTTGANAAATTTTAGTAAATGGGGGCCCAAAAACGGCTATGCCTAGGGCCTACGAAAGGTATAATCCGGCTCTGTGCCTAGGGCCTACGAAAGGTATAATCCGGCTCTGCTGCCGGGTCACCTGTTTTTTGATGAAAACTCCTGTATTTTACAACTATCTTCTGCTTACCCGTATATTCTCAAATTTCTTCGTAATTGTTGAAGAAATTTTTTAAAAAATTGGCAGTAAAATAACCGTTAATGGCAAAAATACTTCTCTAATTCTTCAACAGATGGTGCTATTGCTGCAGTGTGTTGAGAGTTTATAGTTTAAGTAATCATAAATAATGGTTTAAAACAATCTTAAGATTATTATTTATATGCATATATTTTATTTCACAAAATGTAAGTGCTTATATTATTTCCAATTCGGACTAATATGATTATGCGTGCTGTATCAAAACTTTACTCATAGCTCAAAAAATGTCACTTGTAAAATCTCCGTCATTTTATTTCTCCAATGTTTGCAGGTATCTAAATGTATATTCAGTGCCTCAACTTCAGTTTGATTTTTACTTCATTAGTTAACCATATAATATTACACTATTTACAATAAAATGATTGCTAAGAAAATATATATTATCCATTAAAAAATTGCTGAAAACAGCACTTTAGGAAAATATGTATATTTTTACAGTTACAGAATGGCATTAAGTTATAAATATCAAATATTTCATTTGCAACTTTTACAAGGATACTGATGACAGAACTGTTATTTTTACTTGCACTTTTTATATTATTGATATCAACTATCAATGCTAATGAAGCACTTACTAGTTGCATAAAAGTTAAATAGTGAAAATTATTAATTCAAGTTCATGTGGTGATATAGGGTCTAAAAAAAAAATTTTTTTTTCAAATAGACCAAACGAGAAAAAGACTCAACGGCCAAGAGATTTTTAAAAAATTCTTTTTTTTTTTTAACTTAAGTTTTTGTGGTTGATGAATAAAATTGGATAATTAAAAATAGTTAACCTTTGCCGACCAAATATTTCAGTTACTGAATTTAGGTTTGTCCTTGTTTATTTCTGATAATCAAGGTTGTACTGTATTTTAATTTACTTGCTAAATTAGTCAAAAGTTAACTGTTTTTACTGAGAGGTTATCATTTTCATTTGTATGGATTCATTGAGTAATGTGTGTATCTAGTTGGTTATTGATATTTTTTTGATATCTTTATGGTACTGTTATAATTATTCTTATAAAATATTTTCTGAGGATTTATTGTTTTTATAAACTTTAGTCAAAAATTGTATGACCTGCTTTTTCTTCAATTTTTTTTTTTTTTTTAATTAATGTTTGCAATTAAATTGTATGGACAATTTTTAGACAAAAATACGATACTGAATGTTGTAAATTCTATTATGTGTAACATGATCGAACAATAAGTTTAAATTTAAACTCAAAACAAGAACATGTTGTTGTTTTTTTTTTGTCATTTATAGTATTGATTTTTATAAACCATGTTTAAAAAAAATTTAGTTTTTATATTTAATCTTTTTACTAATCCAGACATGATAGGTTTTTGTATGTTCACTTTATGGAAGAAACATAGTCTGCGGGATACTTTATATTAACTTCATTTAGTAATGCTTCGAAGTACAGAAATTTCCTTATACACTATTTTTAAATAATAGGCTGTATTTGGGAATCTATAATGAGTTTAACCCTATGTTGGAGCTTTATGTATAGTTTTGTATAAATGAGTTCCCATTTTTTTTTTTCATTTCTTTCTTTCTTCTAGTTTTTTTTTTTTTTTTCTTTTTTGTGCAAAGCTGTCATTTAAAAAATATGACGCAACATAAATAAATCATAACGAATACAAAGAAATACATTTTAATTTATTTTGTGTTTACAGAAAGCTTTGGTAACCATGTATTCACCAACAAGGATAACCAATCAACACTAAAATATTAATAAATATTTTGTTAAAAGTAGTATTGGATGGTTAAAAAAGCAAATTTTATTACTTTTTCAAACACTAATGACAATTTAACTCCTTTGAGGGAAGGAAACTAAAAACATGTATGTGTGCACTATTAGGTGACACTAAAACTGTAAAAACATTTACTACCAAATATATTATGTTAGTTTTAGTACTGGTTTTATGATATTCAGAGAAAAAGTAGGGTGGAAGATTAAAAAAAATTGAATAACAGGGTACTAAAATGAAATATTATACTTTAACTCTGAAAATAACTTTTTTATTTACTTTGTCTCTTATAATCACTAAATTAAAAGAAAAAAAAAGCTTACTATTTGGAAATATTATACTATTGTTAAAATCATTAAATGTGAAATGGTCAAAAATTAGTGTAATTGTGTTCGATATGGAGATTAATGCAATATTGATTTTTCTTTTTAAGCTTTACCTTATATTTAGGAGAAAAATTACCATATCAGGCCTCAACTGATTTTTCTCATATACACCTGTGCAAAATTATTATTAAATATAAAGGGTCGAGCCATACTGAATTTTAATTATTGCAGAGTCAGTACAATATTTCACGCATATTTTAAAGAAAATTGGTATATAGATTAAAATCACGTCACTTTTTAAATGTGATTTTCGACTGTAAACATTAGAAGAAATCAATTTTTACTTTGACAACAGTAAATTTGAAATTATTTTGTTTTATCTATAATGAAATCGTTATAAAAATTGATCTAAGAATTGAATTTTTAAATAATTGACTCAACTTATAGATACAACATTTAAGAATCTGTAATATTTCAGCCAGTCTTATTTTTCAAACTAATAAAACTTGTTAAAGAAAAATATTTTCTACTTTCACTAAGCGACAAATTTTATACGATTGCAAACTTTTTTGATATTGACTATGTAAGTAATTGCTCGCTGCTGCATTTCATTATAGTTGTCATAAATATTTGATGCTTTATTTATTTTTGTTGCATGATGATAGATTGTGTGATACAGAAAATAATTAAATAATCAATTAAAAACAATTATAAAATCATTTTTCTTTTGTATTATTTGATAAATGAAGTTGGTATTATTTTTTTTAATTTTACACTAATCTGCTTTTAAATTTAATGTAATAAGCGTGCACAATGATTTGGTTTGGGTAGATCTAGATTTTTTTTAAGTCTTAGCTATTCATAAAAGCTATTTTTTTCCAATGTTGAGATATTTAATGTATTTTACAGGGGAAGCAATGTATTCCTTAACCCTTTTCTAAGTTTACCGCAATGTTTAGTTGGATTATGTATGTATATAGTGTACATACAAGGTGCATATGTAACAATGTGGGGTGTTTAGAGTCTCATAACACGTCGTTTACTGCGTTTAATGTAAAATAATAATAATAATTTAAATCATTCTTAGTAAAGTCAGCTGTTTAATTTTTTTTTTTTTTTTTAAAAAAAAATTTAAAACCAAAAGTCACTAATGGGGAAAAAGAAGTACTTCAAGCATTTTGTGTTACAAATGAATGCGTCCACTGAATTGATATAGAATTTTTCAGAAATTGAAACCATGTACTGTTGATTGTGCCCCCAATTTTATATAATTATATGTATGTATTCTCAGTATGTTGCACATTAAGGGCCTCTAAGCATTTCACATTATTTTCGCTACACCTTGTATTTATTAGGTATACTTGTAAAACTATGTTGTAAACAGTCTTAAAATTTATTTATTTTATAATGATTTGCAAAAACTGCATTTACTCAGTGTTTCAGAACTCTTTTTTATTTCTAAAATGTACTTAAGTTTATTGGTGTTTTTGTGAAATTGTTTAAACTATACTTCTCAGGTGAGAAGTACACAGTGTAGTAATTATGAATATTGACAACAGCCCTCGCCTGTATTTGCTTATTACCATGCACTACATGTTATGTTTTTTTGTCTGCTGTCTTTAAATCAAACTGTAATTATTTGTTTTTATCATGCTCATTATAAAATAAAGTTCACATTCCAGTGTGATTATTTTTGCTTCTGTTACAATCAATGCCTTTTGTTTGATTTGATTTTGGAGGAGGCCAAAAAATTCAGGACCACTTTATGATTAGTCGCAGTTTTAAAATTGTTCGAGAGAGCATTTTGGTTAAAAGTACAAGAATTTACTAGCAAACGAAAATATATTTAAGTATATTGCGCTGTTTTCTAATGGAATTACTAAAAATTTATTATTTAATTAAATATTTTAAAAAATATTGTCTAATGTGTAACTAAAGATAGTTTTAAAAATGTAGCACCAAATATAACTCATTACAAAATTATTTATGAAATGTGAGCTTTAAATTGCTCTTATTTTCTTTATTAAAATTTTTATCCTAGCTTTTCCTATGTATTTGAAAAACGTTGTTACCATTTTTTTTAAAGGCATATTCACCCATCACTAATGAATTGTATCAAATATTCATCTGAAACTCCAGTTATTTCCTGCTTTCTCATGGTGAGCCTTTGTAAATGTTTGCAAAAACAATTAAATTTTGTAAGTTTTTATATTGTACCACTTATTAAACACTAATGTGGAGCAGTTGGTATTCGTGCATGCATCATTAATTGAGTGCACAACCAGTTGCCAAACATTGTTCTATAATTGTCAGTATATCAAACTCCCCCCCCCCCCCTCCTTGTTTGGTAGCTGAAAATTAGAAAAATGTACACACCTAGTCTTAGGTTTTGAAACTAATTTCAATAATCCTCCTACTAAAATTTCAAAATGTAAGAGGTGCAAGTATCGTTGGTTATATATATATGAAAAAGCAGTGTATCCGAGAAGGATACATAAACTGACATGCCGAAGCAAAATAGAAGCTTTTATTAATTATTGTATGAGAGCAAGAAAACGAATAATCTAAAATCGAAGTGCTTCCCTCTCGAAAGCTGGGAAAAACCTTTCAAATAAGGCTTGATAAACTTT